CATCATGTAAAGGTATACAGACACAGTAACATCATGTAAAGGTATAAAGACACAGTAACATCATATAAAGGTATAAATACATAGTTACATCATGTAAAGGTATAAATACACAGTAACATCATGTAAATGTATAGATACATAGTAACATCATGTAAAGGTTTACAGACACAGTAACATCATGTAAAGGTGTAGATACACAGTAACATCATGTAAAGGTATACAGACACAGTGACATCATGTAAAGGTATACAGACACAGTGACATCATGTAAAGGTATACAGACACAGTAACATCATGTAAAGGTATACATACACAGTAACATCATGTAAAGGTATACAGACACAGTAACATCATATAAAGGTATACAGACACAGTAACATCATGTAAAGACATAAACGACGATTTTGTTAAACTACTGTTTTATTATTTCACATTGAATCTCTGGTGTTTAACACTTGAATGTAGTTTTTTTTTGAACAGATTTTATCACATAGATAAAAACAAAACTTGGGCTATTTGTATAGCCCGTCGAAAATAGCGTTTCTAATTTTATTCTTGTTTGTTTTGAACATCTTGATATGAGTAATAATAAAATACATACATACTTTATACCTAAATGTCAACAAATTATACTTTCTCTCCGTTTTACATTTTAGGTTGTATTTAGTGTCAATTTTACTAACATTTATACATGTACATAAAAAGTAAAATAATTGAAACAACAACACGTTTACCAACATGCACCGATCATGACGATACATGAGTTTAATTAACGAAAGTGCACGAGATGACACCACGACCCTAAACTGCCCTAAATGGAAGTATAAAATATGTAGTTAACTGGTTTTTGTAAGAACAAATAATTGAGTACATGTATATTTATTAATAGAATAAAAAATATTACCATATTCCACAAATAAAAATACTAAAATTGAAACATAAGTGTCTGACTAATGATAGTTTTACACAATTTGTCCCGGTGACGCTGACGATATACGATAAAGAAAATATCAAGAAGTTAAATACCCTGCTCACATTTACATATATTACAGTGATTTCATCTGGGTTCTACATTTGTAATTTACGTTAAGTCAGTAGAATATATATCTCTGATGAGACTTTGCGGACGTGTGTTTTGCTAGCTAAATGAAACTGTAATTGTGGCTTACCCTCATGTAATTTGTCTTCTTTCTTACTTGTACTTGCGTTTTAGAACATAATTTGTCAACAGCCTCGCCAATGTGGCTCTTGAAAGGTCCTTTGTTAATTTTCTCTGTGTCATGGTAGTCGATGTGATGATGGACACACCATTGAATCGCTTGGCCGATCTGGAAAGTTCGATATTTTTAGGGGGGGAACAACATAACCGAATGTGATATCATTCATACTAAATGCTAATGAGGAAAAGTTCGACATTTTTAGGGGGGGAACAACATAACCGAATGTGATATCATTCATACTAAATGCTGGTGAATGAGATTAAATCTTTTTTTTTTCAGTTTCAGCTGTTTCAATCAGTTATACTCTTTAAGTGTTTTCTTCACACATAAATTATATGCCATGTGTCAAATCTGTGAAAACACTAAGAAGCGATTGTATTAGCAGGAAACTCCACTGTGTAAAAGAGATTACTAAAATGTAGGTTTTACAGAGTAAGTCTGATAACCTAGTTTTAAAATCTTACCTTTAAACGTTTTTAACTGTAATCAATTTTAAAACATATATATAAAGCACAAAAAAATCTGTGTGTCTGTCCGTTTGTCCTTTATCTAAAACTACTCCTAGGTCGTTGGGGCAATCTCAACCAAACTTTGTGAGATGATAGTTTGAAACAAGGGACATATTAATAGAGGGTTCACAGTCCCCTCCACCACCCATTATTGCTGTTGTGAGCATATATTATCTTTGACGTAAATTAACGTTAACTACATTTATAGATCGTGCCACGTCCTTTTTTTTTAATTCCTGTAAACTCCCAGTGGAGCATAGGGCCGCAACAACACCTCGCCAACGGAAGTTGTTGTTGCAGTTACTTGTAGCAGGTTGGTTTTTAGCCCCGCGCCCAACCCTC